GCAGCAGCTGACCTAAGATGAAGCAGTATTCACAGCACATTGGGTTGGAAATTAAGGGCAACAGAAACCCATTGATTAAGTCCTCTCTCTTGGTATTCTGAATTTTCTGTTCCACTGTGAAGAAAAAGGATCTCAATATGATCTGACTCAGAGAGAGAAGGGAGTTTCGAGTTTGGCAGACCCTGATATGGGCACTTACTATTCACCCTATACATGGATGAAACTTGACTCTAAACCTAGCCCTGTATTTTCAGGCTCTGGAAACTAGGGGAAGAATTTAGCCTTTTTGAGCCTCGGTTGCCCTAGCTGTAAAATGGAGATAATAATACAAAGTCTGACAGAGTTGTTGTGAAGATGAAGGGAGGTAATAAATGCCAATCACTTAGCACAGTGCCTGCCACACAGGAGGGACTCAATAAATGCTCACCATTTCACCTTATCCTTGACCAGATAGAACATGCAGTTTGAGGCAGGCTTGTCTGAAGCTGGAGCTTATCTTGGGCTCTCTCTACAATGCTTTGTCAATTTTAGGCACACCGTGTGTGTTTAATGGATGAATGAGTTGCTCATTTGCATGTACCCATTTATCAAAGAGGTACCCAGTGAAGACATCCACTGGGACAAATGTATGGCCCTTGGCCTAGGGGAAACTGCCCAGGTACCTTACCTCACCTCCTGCGGGGCCTGAGGGCCAGATCATTCCCAATCAAGCCCACAGGAGGGGCTTCTCAGAGCTCTTTCCCTGGCTTGGTGCCAACCATGGTAGGTCAGGGGCCATTTGCAGCTTCTTACCTTATTGGAGATAGGTTTAATGACAATGTTGACATCACAGGGAATCTTGCCCATGTTGCTGATCTTGAACCGAGCCTTGGCCTGATGGCCCACCAGGACATTGCAGAAGATGAACTTGTTCTCATCCTCCACGAACAGTCCCCCACTCTCTACGGTTTGCAGGATGTGGTACAGGTTGGAGCTGGTGCAGACCTGGTGCTCCTCAAATATCAAGGCATTGTTGTCAGTCACAAAGGCTGCGGAGTGGAAGGAAGACTGTGAGCAGCACGCCTGGTGTCCAGATTGCTGGCTCTCTGTAGTTCCTAATTTGGAACTTTGGGTTCTCACAAAGAAGAATCATAGAGGAGAGGTAGGGGGATTCACACAAGGGGGTGTGAGTGATGGGACAAATTCTATCTCGTCTTCCTCTTTTGTACTGTTTTGCTAGTTGCCATACCCCAATCAGCCTATTTCTCCCAGTGGTAAGATCTGAGATCTGGGGTGGGCTTTGGAGGGAAGGAGGGATTTGGCCCACTTTGATTCAAGGCTCCAGGGAGCCTATAGTCAAAGCAAGAGCTGCTCCCTGTGCGTCACCTGCGCTCTTGCCAGGTTAAGGGTTTAGCAGGCTCAGTTACTGAGCATTGTTCTCTGTGGGCATGTTGTCCACAGGAGTGGCCTAGCCCTGAGCTGGCCTCAGTGTTCCTGGGCCCCACAGCGCATCCCACCTCACATGACTCTCAGGTAACACTGTTCATCTGAGAAGCCAGGACCAGACTCTGGGAGGCTAGGAGTTTGAAGCTGCACGTCGTCTTCTAAGTGTATATGCCTCATAAGTCTTTAAGGAAAAACCTGGCGAAGACATTAGGAGAAGTTCTAGGGTCCCACAGGAAGCATCCCAGCCATGTCTGCCAGATATCTTTAAAGAAATTTGCCTAAAGGGGGAAAGGGTGTTACAGATGAAGGCCTTCTAAGTGGTACTGTCCAATCTGAGCACCAGTACCTGGTAGACAGGCTTCAGCCAGCAGAGTGTAAGGAATGCCGGCAGGCTGGTCTCTAGGGTCTCGGTCGGAGATATCGATGGCTAGAAATTCCTCACACCTTCCCACGGTATCAGCCACACAGTCAACAGTGATGACCTGAAGTCCTCCGGAAGGGATGGAGCCAAACCCAGGGTACACGGTGAACATGCTGTGGGAGAAGCGGGCCTGCAGGACAGGGTGGGGTGGGAGGAAAGGAGGCAGAGTGGGTGACAGAGTCTGAGGCCTCCCACCAGAGCTGTGAGGTGGTGTTGAGAGGGACGAGGGCCTCTCCCCACAGGCACTCTCCAAGTCCCTCCCCCTCTCCTCCTGCAGAGAAGGATCTGGGGACGGGGCTGTCTTCATGGCTGGGCTTTCTCAGTGCTTCTCCCATGCACATTCCTTCTGACTAACCATGATTGAACCAAGGGTTGAAGGGAGCAGTCTGGACATATACCACACTTATCCAGATGGGAATCTCGAAGAAGAGGGGCTCAGAATGGAGTAGTGGTTAAGACTGTGGGCTTTGGAGTCAGATACTCCTGGGTTGGAATCCCAGCCCTACTGTATTAACTCTTTGACCTTGAACAAATGACTTCCCTGAGTCTCAGTTTATTTATCTATAAAATGGGGATAAAGCCCCTACCCCAGAGATTGCTCAAGGCTTAAATAAAACAAGTATGTGTGAAGCATGTAGCATAGCATCTGGCATAGAATTAGTGCTCAAAAAAGGGGATGTTAGTGAAGTAAGACAGGTCCCTGGATGTCCTTGACTGACCCAATCCTTGAAATAAGGAGAAAATGTCCAGAACAGCCCAGGCTTTGTCCTTGTCCTTCTGAGAACAGGATGTCCTATAAGGCTTTAGCTCAGAGAATCAAGTTACCCCAAGGTGTGAAACCCAGCTGCAGTGTGAAATAGAGGATGCACAGACGAGACTCCATCTGCCCTGGGCAGCTTTCTTGAGGCTTGGGGGACCAGTTTGCCATGGATCCCAGACTTCTGCTGGTTCTTGCCGCCTACCTATGAGTGACAAAGTTGCTTTGCATAACTTGTGTGAGTGTTCTGTCTCACTGGACTCATACACCAGCAGTTGAGTTTGTGCAAAACCTCTGGCAACTGGGTTTTTGCAGGACCTCCTGCTAGATCTAGGGACCTTAGGAGAAATTAGCAAGATGGCTAGAGTCCTCCCCTGGGAATGATACCAGTGCATGGTGTGGGCCAGGTGTTTAGAATCCTCCCCTGGGATGGATAACTGGTACACCGTGTTCCCCTCCCAGGGATGATGCTGGTGCATGGTATTCTGCCTCTTCACGGTTAGCATGCACTCCTCTGGTTTTAGGAGCTTCCTTTCTCTTATTCAATTTCAGAAAGCTGCCAAGGAGCAGTGTGACTTAGGATGCTCCTCTCTAGGGCACCTAGTATATCATCCTTGGAATCTATCACAGAGGTGGAGTGGTGGGTGGGGACCTTGTTCTGGATGGACTGACTTTCAACTGAATTTTACTCCTCTTTTCCTCAGAGGTGCATTCTCCCCACTTGTCTGTCCCCCAGTCCCTACCATATCCCTTTAGGCATGTTCTATAGTAACATTGTATTAGGAAGTGACTTATTCAGACAATGCTCAGACATGGACTCTGGATTCTTCAGGACAATAGTGACTTACCTTAATTCTTACCACAGCTGCTGCAGGTGGCTGGGTAGGTAGGTTCACTGCACGCCTCTAGTGTGCACCCTTCACACAGGAGTCTGTGCAGATGAAGCCCCTAGTGCTGTGTAGGGGGACTGCACAGCCATACACAGAGGCTGCTATTTGCTTAACTCAGTCACTTTTTACTGAACACCTACTATATGCCAGGAGCTGTACTGGACACCGGTGATTCCTGAATAAACCATCAGACAGAAGAAGAAGGCTGATGGATACTAAGAAAATGGTAAGGTGCTACCTCAAAGAAGCAAGGTCACAGTGAGGGCAAAGAACAGCTGAAATGGGTGGACTTCAGTAGCAAGCCTAGCAGTGGTCAGAGAAAGGGATCTTGGAAATCAAGAGTTCAAAAGCACCTCAGTTTCCTGTGATGCAAGATCCAGCGTATGACCATGAGAGTGAGTTGCCAAAGTAGAGAAGTAGACAAGGTCATTGGAACTGAAAGGCAGAGAGGCTGTTTCACTGAAGGCTGAGATGATACAGTAGGTGAAGAAGGCAAAAAAAAAAATCTATATATATAATATACATAAGTAAATATAGACTAGATGAAAGTTCAGAAACATGCGGAAAATTATGTATGTTAATTACACACAGAAGCCTTCTGCTAAGAAGAGGAAAGTACTTGAGAAGACATAAAAACCAACATGTAGAAAATAAAATTCAATTTAGTCAATAATTATTGGTGTTCACAGAGTGCAGAGTACCTCCTTCTTTTATTTTTACCCTCAGTGTAGATGGGATGGCTGGAGCTGCAGCAGCCATCTTGGAACCACAAAGGAAAGGCCAAGAGAATCACAAACATCATAAACTATTAAGCCCACACCAGCAACTGCCTATCTTATTTAAAAACACCCTATTTGTGTAAGTCATTAACACTGGTTTTTCTATTATTTGCAGCTAAACACAGTTCTGATACACAGATCAAGCACCTCCTCCTCTGTGAAGCTTACAGTGACTCTTCACAGCAACCAGAAACAGTGAGACTTCATTCTTCCACCTTTCTGGAATCTATCTCTTCACACACAACTCAGTTATGGTATTTACCATACTGCTTGACAACTGCTCATTCACCTTCTACTTTTTGTAATTGTCTAAAATAGTTCCTATACATCCATTTAGAACCATATGAGACAGTATTATAATTTTGCTTCAATTGACAAATATTATTTAGAAGCCCAAGTAGAGAAGGAAAGTCTATTGAATTTACCTAAATTATTGCTTACTGTGTTTTTCTTCCTTCTTGATGTTTCATGATTCCTTCTTTCATTATTTACTTCATGTTTAGAGAACTTTCTTTTTTTTTGAAGACTGCAGAAGTAGTTTTATTTCTTTTTCCTTCTTTCATTATTTACTTCATGTTTAGAGAACTTTCTTTTTTTTTGAAGACTGCAGAACTTTCTTTTTTTTTTCTTTACATTTAATGATGTAAAATACAAATGCTAACTTGATGTATATTAACATATAACGTTTTTTCTCTCACATTTACAACTCGACAGATTGATGAATCCAGAGGAACTGCTATAATCACTATATGGAGCATACTGTATTGGTATTTCAAAAGTTTATTCCAACCCATTTCTTCTTTTATACTCTAAAACATCTTCATTATGTTGTTTGATGAGATAGGCCCACAGGAAGATGGTGGTGCCCAAGGTCAGGCCAACTTTCAGCCAATCAGGTTTGTTATGTAGTGGCTCCCACACACAGAACTTTGACCATGCAGAAGAGATGCTTGGGAGCCTAGTGGGGGTCAGCAGCCGTGAGAAGGGGAGCAGCAATGTGGAAGGTGCCATCTTGCCACACTGGGCTCTGCCTCCGTCCTAGAGAACTTTCTTTAGCCATTCTTTTAGGCAGGTCTGCTGGTGACAAATTCTTTTAGTTTTCCTTCATTTGACAATGTTGATTTTCCATTCATTCCTGAGAAACAGTTTTGCTGTATATAAGATTCTGGTTTCACAGTTATTGATTTTCTACACTTGCAAAATATTGTGCCACTTCCTCCTGGGTCGCTAGAGTTTGTGTAAGAAATCTGCTGTCATTGAAGGTTCATTTCTCTCTTGGTGCTTTCAAAGTTTTTTTCTTGTCTTTATCTTTCAAAAATTTGACTATGATGTGTGTTGGTGTAGATTTCTTTAGATTTGCCCTGTTTGGAGTTCTCTCAAATTCTTGAGTCTGTAGGTTTATATCTTTTGCCAAATTTGGGAAGTTTTCAGTCATTATTTCTTCAAGTATCTTTTTAGTTCCATTCTCTTTCTAATCTCTTTCTGGGACTCTAATGGCAAGGATATTAGATCTTTTGTTATAGTTCCACGGGTCCCTGAGGGTCTGTTCTTGTTTTTTTTTCCCCATTGGATTCAAATAGACTTTCAAAACAGTCAAAACAGAGTATTTTCTCTCTGCTATTTACATTGGGCAGGATAATGCTCCCCTCATCCCCAAAGATGTCCTCATCCTAATCCCTGGAACCTGTGAATATGTTACCTTACATGCAAAGGGACTTTGATGATATGATTAAATTAAGAGCCTTGTGATGGGGAGATAATCCTGGATTGTCATGGGCCCAGTGTACTCACAAGGGTCCTTAGAAGTGGAAGACAGTTAGAGGGAGATGTGAGTTAGGTTGGAGAAATGTGATGTGAGAATGACTTGATCCATTGTTGCTGCTTTTGAAGATTGTGGAAAGGGACCATGAGCCAAGGAATGTGGGCAGCCTCTAGAAGCTGGACAAAGCAAAGAAATGGACTCTCCCCTAGAGTCTCCAGAAAAGAACACAGCCTTGCCAACATCTTGATTTTAGTTCAGTGAAACCTGTCAGACTTCTGACCTACAGAACTGTTAAATAAATTTTTTTTTATTGTTTTAAGTCACTAAGTTTGAGGCAATTCATCATGGGAGCAATAGGAAACAAATATAGGAATTTCGATAGCTCTGTCTTCAATTTCACCTATTCTTTCCTCTGTCTCCTCAATCCTGTTGTTGGATGCATCCACTGAGATTTAAATTTTTGGTTCTTTATTTTTCAATTCCAAAATTTCCATTTGGTTCTTCCCTATACTTTCTCTTTCTCTGCTGAGACATACTATTTTTTCTTTTCTGAACATGCTTATAATTGCTCATTGAATCATTTTTATGTTGGCTGCTTTTTCAGATCATTCTAATACATTTTCCAGATAATTCTAACACCTCTGTCATCTCCTGTTGGCATCTAGTGCTTGTCTATTTTCATTCAGTTTGAGATCTTTGTGATTCTTGGTATGATAAGTGATTTTCAATCAAGACCTGGACATTTTGGGTATTAAGTTATTGGGCTCTGGGTCTTATTTAAACCTGTTTTTTTTTTTTTTTAAGCTGTCTTTCTCTGACACTACTCTGGCAGGGGGAGGGATGGCATGGCCTCTTTACTGCCAGGTGGGGCTAGGAGGCCACATTCCCCCCTTGGACTTCTTGTTACTGCTGGGCAGTGGTGGATGTTCCAGCTCCTCACTAGTTCTCAACTCATCCTTCCCTAGTAGGGAAGGGACAAGAGTGCCTCATTGCTGTTCCACTGATGCCATGGGGAATGGGAAGGTCCTCCGACACCATTCCAGCAGGGGTAGGGGAGAGATGTCTTGTTACCACTAGGTTGGGTGGAAGTCAAGGCTCCCCATGGGGAGTCTCCACAGACAGCAATGGAGGTGGTGGTGGGGGCTTGTTACCGGCCCAGTGGGAACAAAAGTCTTGGCTTCCTACTTGGCCTTTGGCCTTCACTGACACCACTGTGGCAAGGGGTTGGGGCACCTCAGAACAACCTTGAGAGAGTCTAGGCTCCCTCCTGGGCATTTGCTAGCAGGGGAGGTGTAGGGCAAGTAGATTTTCTTTGGTGTTTGACTGGTGTAGAAAAATTATTATGTAAAAGTTTTCTGACTTTCTAGGCTGCTCCTTTCCTGGTCCTTTGGCTAGTGGGAACAGTCTTCTGCTGGGGTTTTTGTGTTTCAGTCTGTGCCTGTTAATTTTTCAGGGTTTGCTGACTTCTTCTGCACCCAGCCTGTGATATTTGAAGCAAAAAGAAAACGAGAACGTGCCACTTTGATGTTCCATGGGTCCCAAGGGCCCTAGCTGGTCTGGTTTCTTCTCTCTACCTTTCAGAGTCTGAAGTTTGTGTTATACATAATGTCCAGGATTTTAAGTTGTACCTAGTTGGGAAGAACAGGCAAAAGTATGTCTACTTCATCTTACTAGAAGCAGAAGTCCTCAAATCTCCTTTTGTTTAAGCCTGTTTGAATGAGCTTCTGTTTCTTATAAACAAATAAGTCTTGATCAAAATACATATTAGGAGTTGAAACAATTTTAAGGCAATGAAGAGCCAATGAAGATTTTGAAGCAAAAGAGGATATCCAGATGAAAGGCTGTCACGCCTTAGCTTAAAATGAAAGTGATATTTCAGTATAATTACTTAATATTCCTGCCACGACATTTTCGAATCATGTTATCCTAGGGGGGAATTTAGTGGCAAGAGCTAGTTGGGAAGTGACCTTACTGGGTTTCAGTGAACAAGGAAAGGACACTCACCTGGTTTGGGATGTTTACTTCTTTTTGAATCGAGTCAGAGAACTTGGTTGCTTTGGAAGTGCCGGCCTTGTACAAGCTCTCACTTTCCCGGGATTTCGCATGTCTGATGTGGCTGGCACTGATTAAAGAAGCAAGAGCACTCCCTCAGGAGGGGGTAGTGACATTAGATGCCACCTCTCTGTCTGCTGCAAGGTCCCTTCTCCGAGGAATGGGGAAAAGGGTGCTTCTTTGCCCAGAAGGGCATCAGAGTGATACAGCTAATTTGTTAATCACTGACCAAACTCATCTAACAACTGAAAGGAAACTATGCAGTAATTATACTTATTAAATATGATTCATAAGGGCATTGAAAATTACTGCAAGAAAAAATAATTTTTAAGTGCTTACTTGAGTTCATTGGAAATCAGTGTGTAGAAAACTACTTGTGGATGTCCAATCTTTTACCCGATCTCATTTTAAAAAGTGAAATGGCAAATAGATTAAACTCTGTCCCTTTTCTTCACTTTTATAGTCATGACGTTTTTAAGGGTTACTATAAGCAATAGCTCAAATACAGGTTTTGGTAACCACTTCATGTGAAGCTAGTTTTCCCAATGGTTAGTTTGCTTAAAGACCAGTACACTTAAAATATTCAGATATATTTAGATGCATCTTAAACTTTTGAGAGTTTTACATATTTGAGTGTTCACTTGCTTAATGACCAGACACCTGAAGTTCAACCCCCTTCTGCATGCTTTGCATGAATTTGTGCATGCTCAAATAAAAAATAAGTAAAATTAAAAACAATTTAAAGCAAAACACAATTAAATTATAATTATTAAAAACATTATTAAATTATTATAACATAAATTGTAAAAAATCGGGTTGAAATTAAATTTGGAAGAAAGAGACTTTAGACAGTTTAACCCCAAATTTCTTAATATGTTTAAACATTGCCAATACAGAAAAGGATAGCCACAAAAATATAAAACAATTACAAACAATGTAAAGCTGTATGTCTGATCTAAATCAATAATTGGCAGTCAAAATTGAGTCAGAAGTGCCTTGGGAATTATTAAAACCACCCCTAATTTGCCCCAAAGGAATATGACAACCAGTGGAAGCCAAAAGCACTCAAAAGGTAAATTGTTTTTGGTGAACTGATAGAGAGCCGCCTTTTGAAGAACATAGAGTTTTGCTATTGGAACAACTATTAAGGTAGCTGTTGTGATTAAGTGTCTTCCTGGGGAGAAGGCAGTGACAGTCCCTGGTAGACTGAAGGTGTCACCACACTTCCTCTCGTGCATGTTTCCAGGGTGCCCCTTGCCATGCCCCATCGAAGCACAGCTACGATTTCATTTGACTTAGCCTGCTGTTAGAAAATGGTTCCTTGACATCCTACAGGATGACAGATAGGACAATGACTTAGTAATAAGTCCTTCAGCACACCAGAAGCACGAGTTCAACAGACAAAATCCCAAGTGCAAGACCATACATTTGCTCAAGGAATATGTATCACATATTGGACAGTAGTTAGAAAATGTATTAAGTCTGGAGTCAGAAGACGTGGGTACAGGACCAAGATCTACTGGTGATTTCCTGCATTATTTTAGATGAGCCATTTCTAAACCTTAGTGACCTCACCCACAAGAGGGAATTGGGTGAATTTATATAAAATCTATGAAAACTCTTTGGAAAATATAAAGCACTAATTAACCAGGGAACAGCATGAGTTAAGTAAATATTTGTCTTACACTTTCTTTTGATGAATGGGGCTCTCCCCTGTCAGCCTATAAATGGTGTACTTGAAGTCAGTGATGCCTAGATTTTCTATGGTGATGGTGGAGCTCTTACGAGTGCCGCAGATCAAAGCCCCAAAGTTGATGGTGGAGGAAGGGCTGATGTTGTACTTGGAGTACACTGCATTCACAGAAAACTTAATTGGGATGCTAGCAATGATCTCACTTCCTTCTGCAATATTGGGCTCAATAATCTAAAAAGAGAAGAAGGATTGGGAAGATGTCAGCCACAAGCATAGCTACAGAATTCCCAAGATTGTCTACTTCATTCCCTAATTTCATCTTTGACATGAAGCCAAGTTCTTTATTTCACTTTCTTTATATTACTGTGTCAACAATAATTTCAGCAAATGCTAAGACAAAGCTCACTATGTACCAGCCAGGGATCAGTGCAGACCAACTTCGCTCCCTGTTTTCAGTTCCCCATTCACTTCTTGCACTTGATGACTGATCTCAGCTTCCTTGTCTCTAATGCTCCCCAACGACTTGGGGGCACATTTCCTCTCTGATTCTCTCTATTTATGGTGGCTTTGCCCACCTGTGCCTGTTCTCAGCTTCCTTGTCTCTAATGCTCCCCAACGACTTGGGGGCACATTTCCTCTCTGATTCTACTTATGGTGACTTTGCCCACCTGTGCCTGCTAGTTGGGACCAAACCTGGGTGTAGCCTCTCTGGTTGCCACCCAGGCCAGCCCTTTCCCCACCCTGAGCATGAACTAGACCATGTACCCTTCTTGTCCTTGGAAGGCCCACAGTCCCGCACTTGAGTCGCGCCTCCCTTGAGCTCTCTTACCTGACAGCGCAGAATGGGCTGGTGCTCGATCTTCACTTCCTTTTTCGCGCGGAAGAATACCTGGACATTTGTGGGTTTTTCTGCTGTGGTCAGTGAGCCCTTTTTGGGTTGGACTGAGATCATGGAATTTACATTGGTCACCGAAATCCCTAAGGAGTCCACGGAAAAGCTGAAAGACAAGAATAAAAAGTCAGGTTAAGTCATTATCCAGGGAAACCAGGAGACGAGAGAGGGGACTCCAGACTATTAAGTGCCTGCCATGTCTCCAGCCCTGTTTAACTACTGTGCCCAGCAGTGTCCGCTGTGCTTTGTGCCCTGTGGCCTCTTCTCCTTAGCTAGGATTGACCTGACCAGGGAGTGATGCTTGAGGCAAAGATAGCCATCCTCTATCCCATGGTCAAGAGGTGCCCTTGCAGGAGATCTCTGTCCAACTGGGACACTTGATACTGGAGAAAACCAACAAAACTAACTCTCTCTCTCTCTGAGTCTGACTGCAGTACACACAGAGGGGACTGTGATACAGAAGCCAGGGGATCTAAGGAGAGAAGGTGGGGGGCAGAAGCCATGCAACAGGGGCACTAGGAAGGGAGTCTATGGCCTGATGGGGTGAGGTGAGAACCACGGAACGAAGCTGGCTTGTGAGAATGGTGAGGGACTTGAGTAGATGCAAGGAGCCTAAGTGGAAGTGGGACATCTGCAGTCACCGTGGGGTCTGAATGTCACCACCACATTCTAGGAGACCTGGTCGCTCAGTTGCTGCATGTGTGGTGCCTGTGCTTCCTCAGTTCCCTGCAGATTCCTTCAACGAGTCCCTGATCACCTGTACCAACCCGAGAGTGCATGCATTCCATGCAACCTAAGAGAGTGGAGCTGAAGCTCCGTCATAATCTACAACAAAACACATGAACAGGCAAGATTCCATTCAGCACAAATTCTAAAGTGACAGTGGCCTTCTAGGTTTATTTGGCTTTATTTATATCCATTTATTTCAATTTACAATTTCATTCCTTCTAACTAATGGTAGTATTGAGGTGGGATCTCTCCAATGTCAGCATTCTTTTAGTTGAAACAAAATGATCATGAATACACTAAATTTCTCCCAAGTCTGCAAGGGGGATGTCCCTTTGTCAACTGTGAATTCTTCTGGGGGAAGAATGACCTTTCCCAGAAATGAACTGGGCTGTGCGACCTTACCTGAGGGACCTCCCCAACCTCCTCGCCCCATGTCACCCTTTCCTTTCTGAGAAAAGTCCCTGATTTAGTGTTTCATTTTTAATTTCAAGGGATGAGCACAAGCTGGAGTTGTATTCTACCAAGGCACTATTGGATTCTTTAGTACAGTGGTTCTTAAAGTTACAAAAGAGGACAAGCCTTTCTTCACATGAACCATTATGGAGAAGGCCTACTTGTAAAACAGATGCAAGCTGCAAAAAGGGCAGGACGGCTTGCAGCCAGGCCCCTCATCTCTGGGCTCTTCTCCTCCCCAAGACCTTCTCTTACCCCCAGGATCTCTCCTCCCTGCAGCTTCTTCCCTCCAGTCTCTCCCTCCACCCCTGGACCCCTGTGGCTCCAGGTACATTCAGAGGGTCCTTAAAGATCCCTGTTAAGCTGCAGAGTTGAGGGCAGTGTGAAATCTCTGCTCTCTTAGCAGGTGCAATTCCATTCATTTGAAGCCAAGGGAGGCAGAAAGCAGACATAGTTCTTATGGTTTCCTTGATTGACTTTTTAAAAGAATTTCCCATGAGTGGATGTGGATGGCCCCACACCTGATGGGATTCAGGTTACCTGAATGTGATCTCGTATTTCCCGCGGTTCTTCAGTTGCAGGGGCTGCTTCACCTCCTCCATGACCCTCACGATCCCGAAGTCCAGGCCTCCTTCAGCCCCTGCAGAGGCCAGGAGCCAAGGTGGGGAGGGTGAGTAGGGAGCGAGAAGCAGGGGAACTTCCCACCGAAGTTCACACGGAAAATCCACAGTGACAATTCCAGAGAATTTGTTTTCCAAAAACACTGTAGCTAGAAAAGCCTCTTGCAAGTGAGTGTTGGTCAACACACAACAGATGCTGCTCTTACACCCATTTCAACCGGGCAGCTCCCTCTGGGTTCCACCCTAGGCTCACTGTCTTTACAGGTCCACCATCAGCTAAAACTCCCAGTATTTTGGGGCTGGCTGGTTAGCTCACTTGGTTAGAGCATGGTGTTGGTAACACCAAGGTCAAGGGTTTGGATTCCTGTACTGGCCAGCCAAAAAACAAGAACTTCCAGTATTTAAAAAAATGTATCAACTGTACAATTTACAGAGTTGGGATAATACATGTAGATTTGTATTGCTTTACTTAGCATCATAAACATTTCCCCAAATAATTAAAAACTCCTCGTAAATGTGATCTTAGAGGCTGCATACTATTCCATGATATGGCTGTTCCATAAGTTACAACATTATTCCTATAGTAATATTATTCCATTACTGATTGACATTTAAGTTATTTCCAACTTTTCATTATTATAAATAATGCTTCAATAAAGATCTTTGTACATAGACTAATGACATATAAGCTAGCATGTAGCTTTAACATTCTATGAATCTTGCTAAGAAGGGGACCTATTAGGAGAAGGGGGGATAATGGACAACCACATGCTCAAGGGAGAGCTATAACGTGGGTGTTAGGATACATGGAATAACGCCCCTCTCCCCGAAGATATCCATATCCTAATTCCTGCACTCTGTGAATTTGCTACCTTACACGGCAAAAGGGAATTAAGAAAGCAGATGGAATTAAGATTGCTAATCAGCTGACCCTTAAAATAGGGAGATGAATTTGGATTATCTAGGGGGCCAAATGTAGTCACAAGAGTCCTTAAAAGTAGAAGAGGAAGGCTAGAGTGGGAGAAACAGAGAGATGGCAGCGTGAGAAGCATGTGGACCAATATCACTGGCTTTGAACATGGGGGAAGGAGATCACAAGCCAAGGACTGTGGGCAGCCTCCAGAAGCTGGACAAGGTAAGAACGTGGGTCCTCCCCATCAGCTTCCAGAAAGGAGCACAGTCCTGCTGACACCTTGTTTAGAGCCTATGAGACTCCTTTTGGATTCTGACCTACAGAACAGTAAGATAATACATTTGTATTAAGCTGGAAAGTTCATGGCAATTTGTCATGGCAGTGACAGAAGACTCACACAGGCAGAAAGTGTGCTTGCTACCAATAACTGCTCAGAAAAGAGCTCTGCAAATTTTATATTTATGACCACCCCCTTGTTACATCCAATTGGAGAAATTACAATTTGTAGTAATGTTGCTAATGTCACTCTGGGACTTGCATTACTGTTCGCCAGAATTCTTCCTCTGCAACCACCACGGAACTAACAATGCACCAGCCTTCCTCCTCACATCAATACACTCCACAAAAAGACACAACTTCTAAACACAAGTCTTTCCTTGAAGGGCTCAACAGACCTTTGGGGAAGGTGATGTCCAAGGCGACGTCATAGGACTCTGCAAAGATCTGGATGTTTTCAATCTGGACAACACCAACAAGATTCTCTGCATCTAAAACCTGTCAGGGTAAGAAAAATTCCTCAGCAAAAACAAGACTCAGGAGGTGCTTGGAGCCTGAAATGTGTAACATGCAATGGGACTCACGAAGGAGACATAGCAGGGAGTGTTGTGGAAATGTATTGAGCTGTAGGTCTTTTATCTTCGCTGAGCATTTGGCAGGATTCGTGCCCCTCATAACACTCTGATTCAGGAATGCACAATATAGGGATGGGAGAAAGGGACTGCCGTTGTCTTCTTGTCCTCTTACTGGGTTTAAATTATTTTCATGACTGTTGCTACATTACTGAGGTTTGCGCTGTGAGTAGGAATTGCAGGAAAGTGATTTTTTTGGAACTTTTAAACCAAATAAACCTGGAGAGCATTTTTCTGACACTTGAAATAGAAAAACCTTTATACTCTAAGCCATTCTTGCTTTACTCACCTGTAAATCTGCATTGCTCTGTTCTTTGTGACTTACCCTGTGGAAAAAGTGCTAAATTTTTCATACAAAGTAAGAGTGTGTAATGTTTCTCTAAAATGCAAATGTTGTATTTACATGGACATTGCTACCATAGAGACCCACAGCTCCAGTTGGTCACTGACCCTCTGTTGTGACCCTGTTGGTGACACCCCCCCTCACCATTCTGAGGAGCCTCTGTCCTGGGGCCAGCTGTCAGCCTGGCGTGGCTGTTGACTTCCGAGACTAACTGGGAGGTGATAAAGGGTCTGTTCATTAAGGGAAAGAGCTACTGGGCCACGGGTGTGGCTCTGCTATATCTACGTGGAGACCACCCGCCTCTCTGCTGAAGCCTCCATTTAGAAAACTAAGTCACCAACTGCCCATTATACGTGCTTTGGGTGCCAAGGGGAAATTTGCAGCTGTCACCAAACTCAATGTTTAATTTTTCAATTTTTCTTTTTTTTTTTTTTGTCTTTTTCCGTGTCCGGCAACAGATCACAACCCTCAGTGTTGCCCCCGCACCGGACCGGGGACCGGCAACGGGATCGCAACCCTCGGTGTTGCTTCCCGCGCCTCGCTCAGCCAGTGAGCGGGAACCGGTCCGTATGTGGGATCCGAACCCTTGGGCGGGAGCACTGCCGTGCTTCCTGAGCGGCGCACTATCCAGTGCGCCACCGGGCCGGCCCTCAATTTTTCTTTCACCAGACATTTGTCAGTGTTTCATGGAGCAAATTGGACTGACGAGTTTTATCTTCTTCTGTGGCTTGCCCTCTGGCAGGGCTGACAAGAAGGGCTGACTGCATTTATACATCCCCTTCTTTGCTAGATACCCAGTACGCAGAGCATTCTAGTTCCTTTGCTCCCTGACTTGGGAGGGTTGGATTAAATTTGGTAATTGAGGAAAATAGGAAGGATAACTTAAGAGGTACACAAATAAAATAAACAAGTTCACTGGAACACTTTCCAAAGAGACCAGAAAGCAAGAGGTTTCCTCCTGCAGATGTTGAAGGAATATAATCTGAGGAAGAGAAGCTGTAGTTCACTTTGGGGGGCTTCAGGGAGACCCACTCTGCTTTGTGCAGAGCCCTAATCAGGCTGCTGTTTGACTGGGACACACAGGGATGGTCACAACAACTGTTAAAATACAGAAATGTTTCTGTACCAGTTAGTAAACAGCTGCCACAATGACCTCTCCAAGTGTGCCCTTGCTGCCTGCTCCTGCAGCCCCCCACCATGGGAACCCCTGGACTCCCCACAGTTCAGCAACTAAAGGGTGGGGCTGGCATAGACGGGGGACTCCGGGACCCTCCAGCAGCCATGGGCTTGGGTCCCTTGTGCAGAGACTGGTGCTAACCATGTTGACCATCACTCTGGGCTTCATACACATTTGTGGATTGAATGATGCTATCAATATCTGTTTTCAATTATCTGAAGGGCTGTCATAAGTAGGGGATAAGAGAGATTATCTAATCCCATTGACTGGCCTCGAAAAGTAGAAACAGGATTGATGCATATATGTTACAGGAAGAAATCTGAGCTCAAACCAGGGAAGAATTAACAAAGCTGTTTAAAGTGAGAACAGGCTGCTTGGAGCGGTAGTAAGTTTTCTGTCCCTGGAGGTATTCAAAGAGAAGCTCAGGGGCCGGCCCGGTGGCGCACTGGATAAGTGCGCCACTTGGGAAGCGTGGCGATGCTCCCGCCCGAGGGTTCGGATCCCACATACAGACCGGTTCCCGCTCACTGGCTGAGCGAGGCGCGGGAGCAACACCGAGGGTTGCGATCCCGTTGCCGGTCCCCGGTCCGGTACGGGGGCAACACTGAGGGTTGCGATCCGTTGCCGGACACGGAAAAAGACAAAAAAAAAAAAAAAAAAAAAAAAAAAAAAAAAGAGAAGCTCAGACGACCTCTTGAATGTTGCAGAGTCACTTCAAACATTAAGTCAATGATATTCATTCATTCGTTTGTTCAGTCATTTAACAGACTCTACTACCTCCGGGCCTGTGCTAGACACTGAGGATATGATGGGATAGTGGGTTGAATGGTGGTTCCCCCAAAGGTTTATCTACTTCTTAACTCGCAGAACCAATAATTGTGACCTTATTTGGAAAAGGGGTCTTTTCAAATGCAATTAAGTAAAAAAATCTCAAGATGAGCTCATCCTGGATTATCTGGGTGGGCCTTAAATCCAATGACAAGTATCCTTGTAAGAGATATAAGAGAAGACAAAACCAGGAGTAGACCTTGTGATGACGGAGGCAGAGATTGGAGTGATGCAGCCACAAGCCAAGGAACACCAGCAGCCACCGGAAGCTGGAAGAGGCAAGGAAGGGTTCTTTCCTAGAGAATTCTGAGGGAGTAAGGCACCGCTGACACCTTGATTTCAGACTTTGGGCCTCCAGAACTGTGAGAGAATAATGTCTGTTGTTTTAGGCCATTCAGTTTGTAGTAATTTGTTACAGCAGCCCTAGGAAACTAATATAGATGGTGAATAAGACAGGTGAGATCCTGCCCTAATGTAGTTCACGTAAGAAAGTAAGGAAAGGAACAGGATACTGTCAGAAAGGGGAAAGTGCTCTGGAGGATAGAAGACAGGGTGAGGGATTGCACATAACAGGGGATTCCCTCAACGGGATGACTAGAAAAGCCCAGATGAAGCAGTGATGTTCAGCGGACCTAAAGCAGGCACCAACTCTCCAGAGATCCAAGGGACAGATTCCTAGCATGGATGCAGCAAGGCCAGAGGCCAAGGCAGGGAAGAGCAGAGACAGCATGATAGGAGCCAACGAATGACGGTGAGGGTGGAGTGAGATACAGAGGCAGGTAGGGCCTTCCGAGCAGGTGAGGACCCTGGACTTTCTTCTTACTGCGGTAGGAAGCCAGCAAAGTGCTTTAGGAAGGGGAGTAACCTGACCTGACATTGTAAAGATCCCTCCGAATGCTTGGGGGGAATGCAAAGAGGGAAAACAGTTAGGGAGCCTCTGCGGAAGTCCAGGTGAGAGATGCTGCAGGTGGCCTGGGCAAGGGTGGTGGTAGCAGTGTAGGCAAAGAAGTGGATGGGAAGGAGATACGTTGGGAGGCAGAACTGGGGAGGCTTGTTGGAGGACTGGGTTGGAAGGGAGGTCAGGGAAAGGGAATCAAAGATGATCTCCAGGTGTCTGTTGGAAGCAACAGGGTGGAGGGTGACATTTACTGAGAAAGGAATCTGATGGGTGACTAGGCGTGGGGGAGTGAAGTTAGGAATCTGATGCCTACCTACGAATAGTAACGCCCTTTATTCCTTCATCTATTCACTGTATTCCTTCATTTATTCTGCATTGACTGCACGCTCCATTCCTGGCACTGGGAAATCCATCATGAGCAATCTTGCCTTTTTGGAGCTTGCACTTGTGAAAAATACATTGGGGATGTCAAACGGGCTTCAGATGGGAGTACATAACAGAAGACCTGGCTTTGTGTGTGTGTGTTGTGCTGTGTGTCTGTGGTGTGTCAGGGAACCCAATGTGTACACATTCTGATGACTGAGTCTGTGGATGTGTGAAACCTCACCTCCAACCGAATAGCCTTCTTGATGTTGACAGGTTTGGATGGCTGGAAATGCACATGCAGGCTGTACTCAGCCGTGGCGGGGATGGTCCCCTGCATCGTGGATACAGTGAAGTCATCGCCCAGGTGCTCCAGGCTGCTGATCCGCCAAGCCACGGGGAGGGGTGTGACATTGCGGAGAAGAACAACCTTGGATTCTTTTCTGCAGAGACCAAAAGAAATTTTTGTCAGTTTTAAATGATGTTTTTAAACCACAGTTTTATCTTTTGGGTGTGGGTGTTTAGAAATTTCTTAACCCTTCTTTCAGCTGATTTTATTAAGGTCTGTTAGTTTACAGGGCTGAGCCAATATTTATGATTCTTAATTTTTTTTCACATACAAGTTAGCCCAAATTAAATGTCATAATTTTAAACTTACAGAAAAGTTGTACACATTCTTCTATACCCTTTATCTAGATTGACCAGTTGTTTACATTTTGCTCTATTTGCCTTGCATTCACATTCCCTTTCTCTCTCATATCCGTATTAGTTTTTTGGAACCATTTGAAATTAGATTGGAGATATTAAACTCCTTTACCTTTAAATATGCCAGTGTGTGTTTCCTAAGAGCAAGGACCCTTATCAAACCCAGGAGATTACCTAACCCACACTTCAAATGCCATTTTTGTTTGAATGATTTTTTTCTAGCTATTTTTTTCCCAGTCACGGATTCAATCCAGGATCACGTATTGCATTTATTTAATTGTTACGTCCCTTTAGTCTCCTTTAAATTGGAAAAGTTCCTCTGTCTTCTTTTATGCTTTTTGACCTTAACATTTTGAAGAATGTTTCTTAATTTGGGTTTTCCTGGTACTTCTTCATAATTAGACTAAGGATATGCACTTTTGGCAGGAGTACCGCAGAGCCGATGGTGTGTCTTTCTCACTGCATTGTATCGGGAGCCTCTTGACATCAGTTTGTCCCAATAATGGCGATGTTAGGTTTGATGACGTGGTTAAGGTTATGCTCAACAGGTTTCTCCATTGCGGACTTACTATTTTTTCTTTATAATTAATAAGTAATTGTAGGGAGATACTTTGAAACTATGTAAATATCCTGTTCCTTGTTTCACCCACTTGTTTTCGCATCTGTTGGTCAGCATCCACCAGTGTTTCCACATTCATTAGTCGGTATTTTCTGTTGTAAGGAAGAGCATTCCATTCTTCCTCATGTGGTTTTTCATTTACTTATTTATGTCAGTATGATTTGTGAATTCTCATCTTATTCAATAGGTTATAATCCATCGCTATCATTTACCTTGGCATTCAAATTGTTCCAGATTTAGCTAGTGGGAGCCCCTTCGAGTTGGCTCCTGTATCTTTCTGCTATGTCTCCATGATTCTTTAAGCACCTCTTTACTTTCTGGTGCAACAATATGTTTCTAGCTCATCTGGAACTTCTTGTACTTTCCCTGCCCCAGCCCTGGAAGAAGGCTTTCACCATGAATTGTTCTTGTTTACTGGAGAATGATGTTTAGAAACCAAAATCTGGATGTTGGTGTGCTCACTGCTACTGCATATCATGGTTTCCAGGCCCTTTTATCTGACAGAGCTAGGAAATGTGTGGTGTGTTTGCATTTTCATTTTCCCCATCTGCTTTCATCCTCTCTTCCTTCTTTCCTATCTTTCTTTAATTTAATCAAATCCTTTTTAACATTCTACTTTAATTCCTTTATTGGATTTTTAGTTATGCTGCTGGGGTAGATGAGTTAAAGCATCTGTTTTGTGATCCATTTCTCTCCTGATTCTGGGGAGGTGCTCCTGGAAAAAGAAAGAAGGCAGGTGACCTGGTCTAATCTCCTTGTAAAGACGAGGTTAACTGAACCTGGTGGCAAACAGACTAATAATATTTTCTAGGCAAATAATCTTTATACTTGGATATTAGCAGAATGTTCCTGATTTAGGATTGTTAAGTAAATAAACTTAGTTTCTGGATTTATGGGAATGTACTCCCTAGAAAATGTCACATAAATTAGGTGACCTTCTGGGATATAAAATCTACATATGTTTCATAACCAATTCTCCCTGCTGAATAAATTAATCTGCAAATCTCACTGAGCTATTACTTTGGGCCAGAAAGTACATGCCTGATGTGGAAAGAATGAACCTGGAGAGTCATAAAAGATGTCTCAGACATCTTTCTTCTTCATTTGTGTCTTTTGATTGTACCATTGAAATTATCAGCAAAGCTTGATATTGGGTAAGATCTCTATTTGTGTGGGTCTGATTTAGTAATCCAATCCTTTATGTTAGTTCAAGTGGTTTGTGTTATTTTTATTTTAGTGATTGCTCTAGGGATTATAATATACATCCTTAATTTATTAGAGTCTACTTAGAATTAATATTGTACTGTTTCATATAAAATGTAAGACACTTGTGATAGTATTAATTCCTTTTACACCTCACACACCCATTGTGTGTGGTATTGTGTGTGTATATATAGTACCCTGACATATGGGTCCAAGAAGAAATTAAACAGGAAATCAGAAAATTTATTGAAACTAATGAAAATAATGACACATCATACCAAAACTGCAAAAGCAGTACTAAGGGGGAAATTTATCACATTAAATGCTTACTTCAGAAGAATGGAAAGATGGCAAGTAAACAACCTAACACTTCACCTTAAAGAACTAGAAAAACAAGAACAATCCAAACCCGAAGTCAGCAGATGGAAAGAAATCATTAAGATCAGAGCAGAACTTAATGAAATAGAAATCCCCCAAATGATATGAGATCAATGAATCAAAAAGTTGATGTTTTGAAAAGATAAATAAAATTGACAAACCATTAGCAAGGCTAACTAAAAAAAGAAGAGAGAAGACCCAAATAACAAAAATTAGAAATGAAAAAGG